CCCGGCCAGCAGGGGCCGCCCTGCTGCCCGCCCGCCCCCACTTATTGGTGGGTGCTTAGACCCGGCTAGTGACAGGGCTTTCCTCTGCCCCTAGGCCCTCCTGCCGCCCCTCCCCTGCCCGGAGCCCCGCCTTTGCCTCGCCCCTCTGAGGCCCCACCCGGCTCCTCCCTCCCCGTGTTCTCCCTCTTCCTCTCCCACGCCCTGGCTTACTTGCTCACAGGCATCGTTATCGCCTGGACGAGTGTTTTATGCTAAACTAGCTGGAGTTCCCGGCATTGCTCGGGAAACCGGAGGAACCAAATGTAGAAAAGCAATAGTCCATTATCTTTTTCTGAATGGTAGAAAAGTTGCACTGATTTCTATAGGGATTCAAATATAGGTCCACGTCATCCCTGGCGGGGGGGGGGGGGGGAGTGCGACCCCGGGTGGAGAGGAAGTTACACGTGGGAGGGGTACCCCAGCTTGCGCCTGGGGCTACAGGTTCCGCAGGGGGCAGGGCGGGTGCCCAAGCCATTGTGCGCATGGCCCGCCCAAGCCATTCGTGCGTTCAGGGCCCCGGGAGCGTGGCCCCGCCCCCCAGGTACCCAGCACATGCACAGTCCCGCCCCCGGGCGCTCAGAGCATGTATGGCGGTGCTCAGTGCATGCCTGGCCCTGCTCCAGGCATATAGTGCATGTGTAGCCCTAGGTGCGCAGTGCCCCCAGGCACCCGACAAAGCATGGCGCCGCCCTGGGCGTGTGGAGCATGCACGGTGCTGCCTGGCCCGGCAGCCCTGCATGGCAGTCCTGCACAGCGTCCCCTACAATGGGCCACCCTGGGCAGTAGCCTGGTGGTGCTCAGTGCATGCCTGGCCCTGCTCCAGGCATATAGTGCATGTGTAGCCCTAGGTGCGCAGTGCCCCCAGGCACCCGACAAAGCATGGCGCCGCCCTGGGCGTGTGGAGCATGCACGGTGCTGCCTGGCCCGGCAGCCCTGCATGGCAGTCCTGCACAGCGTCCCCTACAATGGGCCACCCTGGGCAGTAGCCTGGTCAGCACCGGGGGGGGGGGAGACGGGGAGGAAAGAGGGTTGCTTATGTAACCTCGCAGGCGGGAGGGGGCGAGTCCCAGACAGCACTGGAGGCTGCAGGCGTCGGGCATGGGACCTAGGGTGGGCGGAGCGGCCCCTGCAGTGCAGCGCGGAGGGTTACTTTTTTATTTTTACAGTTTGAGCTCAGGCCATATCGGGTCCAAAAGTACCTTAAAACCTTCTTCTAGATGAAAGGTTATCCCATGCAAAGTTTGGTTGCGGTAGCTCTTATCTTGTCCAAGTTATTAGCGCACAAACATTCTCCTTTATATATTAGCTTTAGGTTTTATTTGTTACAGGATGCTACAGCTTGCAGCAAAATAGTCAAAGGGGTAACTTTAAAAAAATGAAATTTCACCAAGGTTTTCCTGTTTCTTTCGCTTCCTCTCCCTGTTTTTTGCAACCACCTCCTTGTATTTTGTTGGCTAAAGTTATTGTCATTTTATGTGTGGAATTAGGACTAGCTGCAGTGGATCCATTAAAGATCCGTTTCTGAAGCCCAGCTACAAATCCATATAGCACAATCACAGAGAAATGCACCTGTCTAAATACCTATATATCTAAAATCTGTAGAAACTGACTCCCACATCTCCATGCAGATACACATGAGTATTCATATGCACACATCTAGCATGCACTAGCACATATAGTTCCACATTATTATTACAAGAAGGGTGTGTCTAGACTGGCAAGATTTTGCGCAAAAGCAGACACTTTTGTGCAAAATCTTGCCGCCTGTCTACACCGGCCGTGAGTATTTGCACAAGAACACTGACTTTGTACTGTACAAAATCAGTGGTTCTTGTGCATATATTTTGATGCTCCCGCTCAAGGATAAACCCTCTTGCGCAAGTATTCTTGCACAAGAGGGCCAGTGTAGACAGGGAGGTTAATTTTTTGCTCAAGAAAGCCCAATGGCTAAAATGGCCATCGGAGCTTTCTTGCACAAGAGAGCGCCTACACTGGCACGGATGCTTTTGCTCAAAAGATGTCTTTTCCGTTAAAAGTATTTGCGCGAAATCATGCCAGTCTAGATGCAGCCTAGGTGTTTAGTGCGTAGAGACCCCAACTAAGAAGAGGGTTCCAAGGTGGTAGGTGGTGGATGTGCACATAAAAAGAAAGTTTGTCTGCAACAATACAATTATAGCTAATGTATAGCTACACAAAGATGGTAAGAAACTTACTATAAAATTGAAGTAAATCTAGAAAAACATTGTTGTGAATTGAAACATTCAACAAAATGTTTCATTTAAAAATATCAAAATAGAATGTTTTGATCTTTTGAGGATTTAAGGGAGAGAGAAGGGGAAATTTCAATCAAAACAATTTTACTTGACACAAATTCATTAGCTGTTTCCATCAACCTGAATGTACACCTTTCAGGAAAAAAGTTTAATGTGAAAGATTTTACGTGGCTCTAGTCATGGTTGAAATTAACCCTGTGCGTGACTTATCTACTTCACGGGGATGAGGGGATGTCTAAAGTGTAAATGTTAATAAAATTGTTTGAGATCCTTATAAAAAGGGACCTGCAGCATGGCCAGGAGTTTTATTAATAACGGAGGAATCTTCTTTTACTATCTTAAATTGTGTTTGATTTAGTTATGTGCCTAACTCATTCTCTTTCCTTTTTTTTCTCTAGGAGCTCATCACTGTTGCAGTTGGCTCCTAAAAGAAGATGGAAGAGATCCTGGCTGATCTGTGTGGTACCAGTCCGGAAGACCCACTTCCTGTGTGGATCCATGGTAGTGTTGGTCACTGCTTTAACCAGCTGATTTTGAATGTTGTCCCTCATGTGATCCTTGCATTAGTAAGTGCCTGCTACCTCGGCACTCCAAGGTATGATAGCCATCTGTGTCTCTTCTTCTTTGTAATGAAGAATGTGGGAAAAGTCTCCTGAATGATGGAAATAATTTCTCTTTGTGCCATGTGGCAGCTACCTGCAGGTAACATTCACAGTCTTGAGTTTACTTCCTTTTGGGCAGAGTGCTTGAGCACATGCAGAGTGAAAAGCACTATTAGGCTCTATTTAATCTATCCCTATCTCTGCCTCAGGGCCAGTGTAGAATCTGGCCCTACAGTTTATTCCCCAGGGTCCAGTTTCAGATACTCTAGCGTGTGAAGACTCTACTGTTTCCATTTAGGAAATGATTCCAAAGCTTAAAATTGTCCCTAATATTTCCTGATAGTCAGCTGACACATTCTCTTTTGAAAAAAGTTTTATTTATCCTGGATTGTTATTTTGTTACATTATACAAAATAGCTAAGCCAGTTGTACTATTTTCTCCTTCCTCCTACTTATATATTAGGTGCCACCCTAAACAATTCCTCATCTACCTTTCATAATTATAGGTGGTTATCATGTCCCTCCTGAGTCATTTCTTAACCAAGCACATATATTCTCTGTATCTCGTTCCCTTTAGCCCCTTAAGTTGTATTATTATTTTTTAAAACAAGAGTAGTCCTAAATGTCACTTGGTTCTAAATTTACTGTAACCTCTCAAGAGAAATACTTATTTATCACTGTAGACAGCTCACTGAAAACATCTGCTCAGTTTGCAGTAACAGGTAGTTAAACACATTCATAATTCTGCATAAGGGACAAAATGGAGAAAAATACTATAATGCCATTACACAGAGCAATTTCCTCACCTGGAAATAGTGTATATAGCTGGATCACAATATCTCAAAAAAGATTTAGTAGAAATAGAGGGAGTTCAGAGGCTAATACAGTAATAAGAATGATTAGAGGCCTGGAAAAAAAAAAACTTCTGAAGAGAGATTTAAAAGATTGAAAATATTTAGGTTATAGAGGATATAAATACAAGGTGACATTGAGACATTATATAAAATAATTTCTCTACATCATTTATTACATTAGTTTCTCCTATTTACTCTCATAATTAACAAATTACAATGTTCAATGAAATTGAAAGGCCATAAATATATTACTGATAAGGAAATTGTTATGCAGTGGATAATTAGCCAGTGAAATTCTTTGTCGCAAGACATTGCTGAGGTAAAACGTTTAGGAGGGATTAAGAAAAAATTGATATTTGTATGAAGAATGTGAACATCCAGAATTATATTAGGATAAAAATATATGTTTATCAGGGATTTAAACTATTATGGGTCAGGACTTAATTCAACCGTCAAGTACCACAGGTTAGGTAGAAGTTTCCTCATGGGAAGGTTCTTCCATAGTTGTTAACTGTGGGGTTTCTTGCATCTTTTTCTAAGGTATGCTCTATTGGCCACTGTGAGAAACAAGATACCAGAGTATATTAACATGATCTGAAAAGCAGTGGCAATTTTTGTCATCCTAAAAAGCTCTGGATAGGACAAAGAGCCTGTTGTTATCTGTATGGGCGAGAAATAGGAATGACTGGGTAATGGTGGGAAGAGCAGAGGGAGGAAGGAGAGAAGTGATCACAGCTGATGGAACAGTAGCTGGCTCACTGTGAAGCTTTCACCATCTTTCTCTCCACTAGATCTGTCCCAGGGGCTTCCCACAGACCTGGCTGGAAATGCAGAATCACTGCCTCCTTCATGCTCACCGTCCTGCCCATCCTTGGTATAATCTCAGCAGCCATCTCTCAACAGGAGTTGGGCACCCTGTACCTGACAGTGATGACAAATGGCATTGCCATGCTGGCATGGCTCACTCATAGCCTGGCACTCCTCATGCTTTATAGGTCCACATATGGCTCTTCCCGTGGCCCTGCAGCCATGGTGCTGCTAGCCCTCTTCCCTATCCCTGCCCTTATCATCACACTAGTATGGTGCTGCAAGAATGGGTTGGCCGGGCCCTACCTCCATGCTGCTCATATCTTCAGACTCTCCATCCTCTGCCTGCAGTTGGCCACTCTACTTATCTATGTGATTGGCTATATTACTCCTGTTGCCAGCAGGCAAGATTTTTGCTCCATCAATGACTTGGGGCAGCATGAACCTCTCATCACAGAATCAGGGATCCCAGTGTCTACCTGGCAGGGAGTGGCAGAAGATGGTGAAAGCTGGCTCTCACGCTTCTCTTATACTTGGATGAACCCTCTTATGAAACGTGGTTACCAGTGTATGCTGAATCGGCCACAGGATATCTATCTGCTACCTCGACGTCTCCAGGCTGCCAGGGTCCGTGACCACTTCTATTCGTGTTGGCAGGAAAAAGCAGCTCTCAGCCGAAAGGAGGAAGATGCAATGTCTTCCACTAGCCCAATTATCACCAGAAGTGATGGGACTGGGTATGCCTTCCCCTCTTCAAAGAGCCCTTGTGACACCCAGCAGGCTGTGCAACTCCTCTCAGTACTTCATGCAGCCTTTGGGCTCCGCTACTACTCCCTAGGGCTCCTCAAACTGGCTGGTAGCCTGTTGGGCTTCTCAGGTCCCCTGCTCCTGAACCTACTTGTTGGCTTCATGGAGTCACACCAGGAGCCTCTGAGCCATGGGGTGCTGTACGCCCTCGGCCTCTTTGCTGGTTCCTTTCTGGGTGCTCTCTTGCGGAACCAATTCAACTATGAGGTGAACAAGGTGATGCTGACAGTACGTGCAGCAGTCATCTCTGCCATTTATCGCAAGGCCCTGCGGGTTAGTGGCAGCAGTCTGGCTGACTTCACGATGGGTGAGATTGTCAATTTTATGAGCACAGACACTGATCGGCTAGTCAACTTCTGTGTCAGTTTCCATGAGGTATGGAGTCTCCCTGTGCAGTTTGCCATCACCCTCTTCCTGCTCTACCAGCAGGTGGGGGTGGCCTTCCTGGGAGGCCTGGCCCTGGCCCTGCTGCTTGTGCCAGTGAACAAGGTCATAGCAAACCGTATCATGGAGAACAACAAGGAGATGCTGAAGTACAAAGACACACGAGTTAAGGTGAGACCGCCTTTGGGTTTATTGCTGCATTTTCTTCCTGATCATTCTTAGAACTGTGGCTATGTACTTTGGAACCCAGTCAATGAGGAAAACCCTAATGGGAGTGCAGAAAGGTCAGATACCTGAGGGGTACAGCACAAAGCATTGTCATTATGATTCCACCTAGAAGGAAGCTGTTCTGTCATGTCATTTTATGGTGTTTATTGCTCCCCAGGCATGTCCAGTCTCTCCCATAGATGCCTGTCCTGTGTGTAGCAGTTACTGTGAAACCCGTGGTCCCATTCCCTCGAGACACTCTTCCCATTGATGCGTATTAATCTTGGGAACCCTGCCCACTGCTGATTCAAAGTGCCTATGTTTAACATTTTTATCGTGGTTATGTGTCTCTCTGATTTGGCACCCTCAGAATCCATATCATTCTGTCTCTTGCTTCTGCACTGACTCTTCTCCCTTGGGATTACTATCCAAGGGCACGTCTACAGAACAGAGCTAAAGCCGAAATAAGCTATGCAGCTTGAGCTACGTTAATTTTGGTGCTGTCTATATAGCAGGAAGTCCAAATTAGAGCACTCTTCCCATACATCTTGTATAATGAGGGTTACAGGAGTCGGAGTAAGAAGTCCTCCAGCTTGACCTTATTTTGACATTCTGTTGAAATAACTGCTTGTAGTGTAGACGTGGACTGCTGTGTAGACGTACCCTTAGTGTCCTGGGCTCCAGTATGATAAGATTGTATGGTAATGTTTTAACCTAGCATCTGCAGTGGTGACAGAGGTTTTTCCAGACCCACCAATTTTTTTGCAATTTTCCACCCATATTTTAGAAACATAAAAATGTAAGTCTCATTCCTATATGCATTGTACATCTATAAGAGCATTTGCAGTATGTTTCTGGAAGAAGTTATCTCTAGTTCTACCCTCCCCCTCCCGCCCCAGGATGGTCTTCTCTAGATAAGTCAGAACCACTCTGCCGGATGAATCTTCTGTGAGGATTCAGTTGTCTGGCTTAGATTTTAAATACTGAATGTTTAGTTTTACTTCAAACACCACAGAGCTCAAATAGGCAGGGGCAGCATCAGAGAAGATGGATCAAAGTTCTTGACTGTTGCTACTGCCAGTTGTAGACTAGAACATGTCTCTGTTTCTCCACCTTTTATCCCCCTCTGTCCAATCTGTTTTGGCTAGTGTCTGGTGTAACATGGCTCTGGAGGGCAGAAGAGACTGATCTGGGTCTGTTCTGCTTGCCTCTCTGCCCACAGCTAATGACAGAGTTCCTCTGTGGCATAAGAGTGATCAAGTTTTACACCTGGGAGCAGCACTTTGGTGCCCGGATAAATGCCTGCCGAGCCAAGGAGCTACAGAAGCTGCGAGCCATCAAGTATCTGGATGCCGTGTGTGTGTACTTGTGGGCAGCATTGCCAGTAGTCGTCTCCATTGTCATCTTCATCACCTATGTACTGCTGGGGCACCAGCTCACTGCCACCAAGGTGAATGACAGAGGACACTTGTGCAAACTCATTTCTCTCCTCAGACTGATGTGGGAGGAGAGTTTTCAGAATCATCCTAATTGGAATAACCATGGGGCTCCACTCCCTTATGGGATTCCATTGCTCTGAGATCTCCCCTGGGAACAGAGCTCAGCCCATACTGCTGAGTGCAGCTGTAGAATAAAGTTCAGTACCCATCTGTATGTTGTGACCCTTCCCCAGGTGCAAGGACATCTGTCCACGTGGTCTTCCTCCTCCCCATCATGATCTCTAATCTGGGAAATGTATGGAGGGGTGCCAGAGGCTTACTATCCCTCAGTTGTTTATTGTATCCCTCTCTGCCACAGGTGTTTACAGCCTTGGCGCTTGTTGGGATGCTGATTTTTCCCCTCAATAACTTCCCGTGGGTGTTGAATGGAGTCTTGGATGCCAAAGTGTCTCTGGATCGCATCCAGCGTTTCCTTGAACTCTCTGACCAGAACCTGCAGGCTTATTACACCATAGGTATGAAGACAGGAGCTGGGACACAAGCAGGAGTGGGTGCTGTGGGCCTTGGGGTGGAATTTCCATGTGTGGGGTGTGAAGAGAATGGAGAAGTCTGAATACTGAAAGTGCTTGTGCCAGAGGGCATAGGTCTAAAGGAAACGGGTTCGCTGACCCTAGTGCCGTTAGATAACTGCTCCGTAACTGAACTCCATAGGGTGCTGAGCAGTGCGCTGTGCTCCTTTCAGTCAATCTGAGGGAAGCACACGCTCTGGATCTGTGGAAGTGTCCCCATTAGAGAACAGGGCAACAGCATCACTCTCCACCAGCACCAAACAGACCATTTCTGTGCCTGCTGATTCCTGCCTTTGTATATTCCCAAAGCAAAGGCTGTTTGCTCATTTCTACAAAATCTCCCTCAACACTGAAGCCATCAGCCCTGTTGGCTTTGGTTGGCAGAATGGGTGGAACCTCTGCACTCTCTTCTGTGATACTTCCCTCCGCCCCCTTCCCCTGTTGCCAGCTCCCTGCTGTTTCTTCCACCCGCAGACATAGGAAGTCCAGTTTGTTTTTAGAATGACTCCATGAGCTTCCTGCAGGGATTCAGAGACAGGTAGAAGAGAGAGGTTACAACAGGGTAGTGTCTCGGTGTCACACAGTGGCATTGTACAGCCGAGTGGAGCATGTCTGAGCTGTGTCCTTGTGTACTCTAGGAGTGGAGCTAATGGTGCTAGCAGCATCCAAGGTTGTCTGGGCTGCTGTCCCTCAAAAACATGCTGCAGGAGTGGCGGAGCCAGCCTAGTGTCTCCGTTGCATTTTCTGACCCTTTTCTTTTGCCAGATGGCCCCACAGACCCATCCTCTGCACTGGAAATGCATCAGTCTGCCTTCTCCTGGTCATCGGCAAAGGAGGAGAGCACCAGGCAGCATCTGGCCAGAGGGTCTCTACAGATCTTCATTCAGGACCTGGCAGTGGCAAAGGTGAGTGGGGGTGCAGGGAATATAGAAGAGGGAGCCATCACTAGAAGGGTCAAGTGTTAATACATTACATCTGGCTTCTGCTTCTTTCCCTCTGCAGGGGGTGCTGGTGGGAGTTGTTGGGAAGGTTGGCTGTGGGAAAAGCTCTCTGCTTGCAGCAATTACTGGAGAACTCAACAGGTAAATAGCCATATAAGACATCTCAAACTCTCCTCCTGCCCCATCTCTTACCACCTCTGCTACAAAGGATTTTCCATGGGCTAGACCCATATACCAGGCATGCACTCCCTGTATTGTTTTTTCTCTTCCTTTGCTGCCTCCCTATTCTTTCCGGCTTTGGTGTGTTTGCAGACTTGGCGGACAAGTGTATGTCTGGGATCTGGAGCAAGGATTCGGCCTGGCCACCCAGGAGCCCTGGATCCAGTTTACTACTGTCCGTGAGAACATCCTCTTTGGAAGGGACTATGATGCCAGGCTCTACCAGGAGGTGCTTGAGGCTTGTGCACTTTCTGATGATCTGAACGTAAGTGCCCTGTGATGCGCACGTCCCACCAGCTTCCTCGGGTCCTGCCCTGAATCTGAGCCTGAATCTTAACTTCTCAGTCAGGGCATAGAACCTATTTCCCCAGCCTCTCCCTCCTTCCTAAGCCAAATGCACCCTTTGTTCATTTTCATTACCGGCATTGAGTCACTCCCTTCCCTTCCTTTGGGCTGAGGCAATGCTTATACTGTTTCTTCTAAGGCTTATCTTGAGCAGAAAGATCTGAATCCCAAGGAAGGGAGAGGTTGTTCAAAGCTGCCCTAGTATTCCCATTAATAAGCCGTCAGGTTCTGGCCATAGGGAAATGATCAGAAGCCAATACTTCATTGGAGCAGACAGCCCTTCCCTGGGATCTGGTGGGGCTACGCAGCAAGAAAAGAGTGTTGAATTTTCATCCTCTATGTGGGACTGCTGGTAGTATCAAGGCAGCAGCCCCAGATGTCCCAAGGAACTGCAGTGCAGACTCCTTTTGTAAAAGGAAGCAGAACATATCTCTGAATAGGCCTGATGATACCCCACATCTCAATCCTAAAGAGAGCTAAAAGGAAAGAATTTATCATCTAGGTTGATTCAAACTCTCACCCTTCTCCAATCAGTAATACACATCCCATCTAGGAAGCACATTAGACACATTAGTTCATGAACCCTCCTACAATCTCTGGGAGGGAAGGATTGTTCTTCCGTTACATAGACAGGGAAGCAAAAACACACAGAGGCTAATGGTCTGGTTTTTCCAAGATGGTGAGCACTTGCATCTCCCTTTGACTGCAGTGGGAGATGTGGGTGCTCAGAGTCTCTGAAAATCAGGCCACTTGTGTCTTGTCCAAAGTCTCTTAGGGTATGTCTACACTACCCCGCTAGTTCGAACTAGCGGGGTAATGTAGGCATACCGCCCTTGCAAATGAAGCCCGGGATTTGAATTTCCCGGGCTTCATTTGCAAGTGCGGTATGCCTACATTACCCTCCTAGTTCGAACTAGGAGGGTAATGTAGGCATACCGCACTTGCAAATGAAGCCCGGGAAATTCAAATCCCGGGCTTCATTTGCAAGGGCGGTATGCCTACATTACCCCGCTAGTTCGAACTAGCGGGGTAATGTAGGCATACCGCCCTTGCAAATGAAGCCCGGGATTTGAATTTCCCGGGCTTCATTTGCAAGTGCGGTATGCCTACATTACCCTCCTAGTTCGAACTAGGAGGGTAGCGTAGACATACCCTTAGTGAGCTAGTGTTAGTGCCAGGAATAGAACTCAGGAGCCTTGATTCTGCATCCCTGATTTCACTTTGCCTCTGTGAAGCAACTTTGTAAATGGATCATCTTGTGTGTTTCACTTCTAGATCTTACCAGCAGGTGACCAGACAGAGGTGGGTGAGAATGGAGTGACACTCAGTGGGGGACAGAAGGCTCGAATCGCCCTCGCTAGAGCGGCTTATCAGGTAAATAGAAGAGTGACCCTACAGAGGGCCAGTTGTAGCAGGTGCATTGTCCAAGAGCCAAGGCTGGGCTAGAGAAGCAGGAAGTACCCAACTGCCAGAGCTCCTACAGCACAGCATCCAGCTCCTCCTGTCCATCTAGGCTGGGTCTAAAGGAGCTGAGAGTTTCCCTAAGCCAGTGCACTTTCACCATTCTCTACAGCACAACCTGCTGTGGAAGCTGGTACTGAAGCAACGTAGGAGATGTATATCTGTCTTTTCTTCCTCAGGAAAAGGAGATTTATCTGCTTGATGATCCACTGGCAGCTGTTGATGCTGATGTAGCCAATCATCTTATGCAAAAATGCATCCTGGGATTTCTCAAACACAAGACCAGAATCCTTTGCACACACAGGACAGAGTTTTTAGAGAATGCTGACACCTTGCTGCTCATGGACAATGGCAGAATAGTCAAGATAGGTACTGTGGCACACCTGCTTTGTTTCAGACTGTGTACCAGAGGGCTAAGAACTCCATCCCAGTCTTATTAGACAGACTGATGAGCTGTGAATTCAGATGGAAAATGGCCATATGGAATCAAAGCAGACAGTTGCAAAGAGGCTTCCCAAGGGAAGAGGCCTCTGGATAAGCTGGAAGAACTGGGACATGTTGAATGTACAATAGTATGAATAAAATAGACAGATTCAGAAGAGATGGGCATTGGGGTAAGATGGAATGGAGGGCCAGGAATCTGTGGAGCAATAGTTACAGGGTTGCGGGTACTAATAGAGGAATAGGAGGGCAGAGATAGAAGTAAATTGAGCTGTCTTGTACCTAATAACTGAAACTTCCACAGCTAGTATCTGCTCCTTAGGATCTCTGCAGTGTATAAAACACTCACACTCTCTCTTTCTAGGGACCCCATCTGAAATCCTGCCACTAGTGGAAGCCACCCCAAAAGTCAACGAGGAGAATAAAAGGAGGCAGAATAAAGGTCAATATATGGCGGTTTGAGTGGCATTGCTGAAAGTGGGTGGGGTCCCTGTGGCTTGGGATAAACATCCATGTGGAACTGCTTTCTGCCGTTATCTGATCTCCAAGCAGGAATTCAGGTCAGTTGTACTAGTGGGGCAGGGTGGAGTAGGAAAACAACTAACGGAAATTGAGGGAGACAGAGGAAGGGACTTGCTCAACATCACAGAGTGAGTTGGGATTATTAAACTCCTGGTTCCCAGCTTTTTGCTTGGTCTGCTGACAAGGCCTTGCCTCCTTTTCATGGCAAAAATAGAGCATATGATATATGTGGAAAAGGTCTCCATATACAGGTGTCTCTGAGTCCCCCTGGCTCCTCAGTGCTAATTAAAAGCTGAAATGGGGATAATTAAATGGATAGCTGTGGAGCTTGGAAAAGAACCCCCATTCCCACACCTTTCACAGTGGGGTATTTTCCGTGCTTGGGATGAAGGGGACATTGGATACTGGCAAGGAAGCAGTGTACTGATGTGCATTCCCACGTGCCACAGGACTTCCTGATAGATGCCTATGGTAGAGGGTACAGCTTCATGAACTCTGTTGCAAAAGAAAGGAAAAAGGAACAAACCTTAGAAAGCCTTCTAAGAGTATGGCAAAGCTTTCCACTTGACATATACCTGCCCTGTTTACAGTAAGGAGCTGGTCCTATCGATGCTGCGCTGACCTGTGCCTTTCCTCCTACAGTCTCTTCTGAGCAAGGCCAGGAGGAGGATATGGAAATACAGACAGAGGAACTGGGCCAAGCTAACTGCCTCCTCCAGCGGGAGGAAGAAAAAAAAAAGGGGGCAGTGGCTTTCCAGGTGTATAGGGCATATTGGCTGGCAGTGGGCAGTTGCCTAGCATTGTCCATCCTCTTCTCCCTATTTCTGATGCAAGGTAAGGCAGCAGCTCGCGCCACTCTCTGTTTGGGACATTCTCCATTCTTGTTCTCTTGCTGTGTTCCCCAGCTATATGAGGGGTCCTAAGGGTGGCAGACTAGGTTTACTCTCTTCATACCCCCTGCAGGAGGAAGACCCCGTCCTCCTAATCTTCCAGCCAGGGTTCCTTCAGTACTTTCCTGCCCATGAAGTCGAAGGATTTGTCTGGTGCCCTTAGCCAATGTGAGAGCAAGATGTTGTGTCGTAATTTGTGCCCCTGCTATCATGGGGAACACTAAGGACTGTTTTTCCCCAGGGGAGCTGTTGTACCTGGCCTCCTTGGCTGCTGGCTATACTCTCTACTGCTCAAGTAACTGCAGTGGTTAACGTACTGATGGCAGGGTATAGATTAGGCCAGGTAGTGAAGTGGTAAGGCTAGTTCCTCGTTGTAGCCCCAGCTCAGCTCCATTTCCTGCTCGTCTCCCTCATGTTGCCTGAAGCAGAGTCTAACCCTCATCCTGCTCTGACTCTTGTGTATCTCTGCAGCATCCGGGAATGTCTCAGTTTGGTGGCTGTCACACTGGATTTCCAACCTGCCTCAGACAGCAAACATCTCCACGAGGCCCCTGTCAGCTTCTTTCCCTTCCCCACAGCTGCTGCTCTTCTCCCTTGCAGGGCTCATGTAAGTGTGCATAGATTAGCTCAGGCGCTGCTGTGGTCTGACTGTAGGAGGAGCAATGGTCTCCAGTCTTGCTCCTTAATGTCCCTTTTGCAAAGGCCTCTTCCTGTGAGTAGAAGCTGGCTATTCCCTCCCCCTCACTCCCCATTGCACAGAGGCAGTATGGCTTTGAGAGCTAGATAGGATGAAAAGGCCAGCTGAGTACAAAGGGATAACGAAGAAGCACTGCTGGATTTGCTACCTGTGGCAGATGGGAGTCCTCTTGGCTTCACAAGGGTCTCGGAGGAGTGGAGAGAACCTGCAGTTGGAATTGTAGGCAATTTGTCTGCCGCAGTTGGTGAACAGCAGGAGGAAGCTGGTATCCCACGCTGGGCTAAGGACTCCTGGCTTCTCCCCCACCCTGGCCTTGGTGTTTGCTGTCTCAAGGGCACTGGGTGTCACCTTGACATAGTGCACACAGTGGTTGAAGTACTTTGTCTCCTCTCTTCCAGCTCCCGCATCCAGGTGTTGGGCACAGCTCCAATCTATCCCAATAGCACACTGGATGTGAACTTCTACCTGACGGTGTATGGTGGCATAGCTGGAGCCAACTCATTCTTCACCCTCCTGCGGGCCTTCCTCTTTGCTTATGGCACCATCCGCGCTGCCACTGTCATTCACAGCCGGCTGCTCCAAAGAGTGATGAAGGTCATAAGGGTGGGGTAGGGTAGGGTGAAGTCCCAGGGGCTCAGTTTAGGGAGAGAAATGGGGGCAACAAGGGGAACAGAGAGAGCCACAAATGGATTCACTGGAGTGCTGAACTGCTCAGCCAAGGAGGAGCATAGGTCAGTCGCCTACCCCTTGGCAGCAGTCATTATGTCTGTCTCTCAGCTCTCTGCAAAGGGGTTCCTTGAAGCCACTTCATTATGAAGGTAGCTGGCTGTGTCCTATGAGCTGTGTGTTGCTGCTGGGATTAGGGATGCCTATTCCAGCAGGGCACCTCCAAACTGGGGAGAGGGGTTTGGAGTCTGGTTGTGCTGGGCCAGTGCAAGCTGGGAATTTCTTCCTTGTCCTTATTCAGTTCTGCCCCTCTTCGGAGCACTATTCCGAATGGTGGCTGCTTGCTGGACCACCTGCCAGCCAAGCTATAGCTCCAGGGCACTGCTCTCCCTTCAAGCTAGTCCTTGTCCCTGGCTCTTACCATCCGGTTTCTATGTTGACAGGCCATAGTGACCTTTTTTGACGTTACGCCGACGGCCCGGGTCCTGAACCGCCTCTCTTCTGACCTATCCCGTGTCGTC